TACAATACAATACAACAATACAATACAACAATACAATACAATACAATACAACAATACAATACAATACAATACAACAGTACAATACAATACAATACAATACAATAATACAATACAATACAACAATACAATACAATACACAATAATACAATACAATACAACAATACAATACAATACAACAATACAATACAATACAATACAACAATACAATACAATAATACAATACAACAATACAATACAACAATACAATACAATAGTACAATACAATACAATACAATACAACAATACAATACAATACAACAGTACACTACAATACAATACAATACAATACAACAATACAATACAACAATACAATACAATACAATACAACAATACAATACAATACAATACAACAGTACACTACAATACAATACAATAATACAATACAATACAACAATACAATACAATACACAATAATACAATACAATACAACAATACAATACAATACAACAATACAATACAATACAATACAACAATACAATACAACAATACAATACAATAATACAATACAACAATACAATACAACAATACAATACAATAGTACAATACAATACAATACAATACAATAATACAATACAATACAACAATACAATACAATAATACAATACAATACAACAATACAATACAACAATACAATACAATACAATACAACAATACAATACAACAATACAATACAACAGTACAATACAATACAATACAATAATACAATACAATACAATACAACAATACAATACAATACAACACAACAATACAATACAACACAACAATACAACACTACACTACACTACAATACAATACACTACAATACAATACAATACAACAATACAATACAATACAACAATACAATACAATACAACAATACAATACAATACAATACAACAATACAATACAATACAATACAATACAATACAATAATACAATACAACAATACAATATAATACAACAATACAATACAATAATACAATACAACAATACAATACAATACAACAATACAATACAATACAATACAATACTACAATACAATACAATACAATACAATTAATACAATACAACAATACAATACAATACAATACAACAATACGATACAATACAATACAATACAACAATACAATACAATACAATTAATACAATACAACAATAGAATACAACAATACAATACAATAGAATACAACAATACAATACAATACAATAATACAATACAATACAACAATACAACAATACAATAATACAATACAATAATACAATACAATAATACAATACAATACAATACACAATAATACAATACAATACAACAATACAATACAATACAATACAACAATACAATACAACAATACAATACAACAGTACAATACAATACAATACAATACAATAATACAATACAATACAACAATACAATACAATACACAATAATACAATACAATACAACAATACAATACAATACAATACAACAATACAATACAATACAATACAACAATACAATACAACAATACAATACAATACAATAATACAATACAATAATACAATACAATACACAATAATACAATACAATACAATACAACAATACAATACAATACAATACAACAATACAATACAACAATACAATACAACAATACAATACAATACAATACAACAATACAATACAATGCAACAGTACACTACAATACAATACAATACAATACAACAATACAATACAACAATACAATACAATACAATACAACAATACAATACAATACAATACAACAGTACACTACAATACAATACAATACAATAATACAATACAATACAACAATACAATACAATACACAATAATACAATACAATACAACAATACAATACAATACAACAATACAATACAATACAATACAACAATACAATACAATAATACAATACAACAATACAATACAACAATACAATACAATAGTACAATACAATACAATACAATACAACAATACAATACAATACAACAGTACACTACAATACAATACAATACAATACAACAATACAATACAACAATACAATACAATACAATACAACAATACAATACAATACAATACAACAGTACACTACAATACAATACAATAATACAATACAATACAACAATACAATACAATACACAATAATACAATACAATACAACAATACAATACAATACAACAATACAATACAATACAATACAACAATACAATACAACAATACAATACAACAATACAATACAATAATACAATACAACAATACAATACAACAATACAATACAATAGTACAATACAATACAATACAATACAATAATACAATACAATACAACAATACAATACAATAATACAATACAATACAACAATACAATACAACAATACAATACAATACAATACAACAATACAATACAACAATACAATACAACAGTACAATACAATACAATACAATAATACAATACAATACAATACAACAATACAATACAACACAACAATACAATACAACACAACAATACAACACTACACTACACTACAATACAATACACTACAATACAATACAATACAACAATACAATACAATACAACAATACAATACAATACAACAATACAATACAATACAATACAACAATACAATACAATACAATACAATACAATACAATAATACAATACAACAATACAATATAATACAACAATACAATACAATAATACAATACAACAATACAATACAATACAACAATACAATACAATACAATACTACAATACAATACAATACAATACAATTAATACAATACAACAATACAATACAATACAATACAACAATACGATACAATACAATACAATACCAACAAATAAAAACAAAACAACAATACAATACAATACAAATACAATACAACAATAGAATACAACAATACAATACAAATACAACAATACAATACAATACAATAATACAATACAATACAACAATACAATACAACAATACAATACAATACAATAATACAATACAATAATACAATACAATACAATACACAATAATACAATACAATACAACAATACAATACAATACAATACAACAATACAATACAACAATACAATACAACAGTACAATACAATACAATACAATACAATAATACAATACAATACAACAATACAATACAATACACAATAATACAATACAATACAACAATACAATACAATACAATACAACAATACAATACAATACAATACAACAATACAATACAACAATACAATACAATAATACAATACAACAATACAATACAACAATACAATACAATACAATACAACAGTACAATACAATACAATACAATACAATACAATAACAATAATACAATACAATACAACAATACAATACAATACAACACAATACAATACAACACAACAATACAACACTACACTACACTACAATACAATACACTACAATACAATACAATACAATACAATACAATACAATACAATACAATACAATACAATACAATACAATACAATACAATACAATACAATACACACAACCCAACCCAACCCAACCCAACCTTTTTTTATTGGCCAAGTGTGATTGGACACACAAGGAATTTGTCTTCGGTGCATACGCTCTCAGTGTACATAAAAAGACAAGATACATTCGTCAAGAATCATAAGGTACTACACTTAGTGGTAGTCACAGGGTACAAATAAGCAGTCAAATCATATCAGTATATCAATATCAATATAAATCGTAAGGATTCAGCAACAAGTTACAGTCATGCAGTCATAAGTGGGAGGAGATGGGTGATGGGAATGATGAGAAGATTAATAGTAATGCAGACAGTGAATAGTTTGACAGTGTTGAGGGAATTATTTGTTTAGCAGAGTGATGGCATTCGGGAAAAAACTGTCCTTGTGTCTAGTTGTTCTGGGGTGCAGTGCTCTATAGCATCGTTTTGAGGGTAGGAGTTGAAACAGTTTATGTCCAGGATGCGAGGGGTCTGTAGATATTTTCACAGTCCTTTTTTTGACTCGTGCAGTAGACAGGTCCTCCATGGAAGGCAGGTTGGTAGCCATTGTTTTTTCTGCAGTTCTAATTATCCTCTGAAGTCTCTGTCTTGTTGGGTTGCAGAACCAACAATCATGTAGTCAGAAAAGCCACCTGTATGTCAAAAAAAGAGAGGAGGATTTTCAGGTTCAGGAACATCTCTCCCTTGCAAACACAGGTAATCCTTACTTAGGACCACAATACAATTGAGCCTCAAAATTTCTGTTGCTAAGCGAGACAATTTGTTTTTCCCCATTTTACGGCCTTCCTTGCCACCGTTGTTAAGCGAATCATGGCTGTTCAGTGAATCTGGATTCCCCATTGACTTTGCTTGTCAGAAGGTCCCCAAAAGACAGTCACGTGACCCCAAGGCATGCAACGGTCTATATTTTATCTATAATAAAATCCAGTCTGTCAATTAAGACATGGTCTAAGGTAAAGGTGAAGATTCCCCTCGTACATATGTGCTAGTCGTTCCCGACTCTAGGGGGCGGTGCTCACCTCTGTTTCAAAGCCGAAGAGCCAGTGCTGTCCGAAGACGTCTCCGTGGTCATGTGGCTGGCATGACTCAACGCCATAGGCACACAGAATGCTGTTTCCTTCCCACCAAAGGTGGTCCCTATTTTTCTACTTGCATTTTTTACCTGCTTTTGAACTGCTAGGTTGGCAGAAGCTGGGACAAGTCACAGGAGCTCACCCCATTACACGACAGCACTAGGGATTCGAACCGCTGAACTGCCGACCTTTCGATCAACAAGCTCAGCGTCTTAGCCACTGAGCCACCGCATCCCTAGACATGGTCTAACCATAGTAAAATTACAATCCACAAACTGTGGTCTGATATAGGTTCAATGGTGGTTGTAAGTCGAGGATTCCCTGCACTGGGACTGGAGCTATCTGGGTTTGCAACCGTGCCTGCTAACCACAGCCCCCACTTCCCTCTGATCTTAACACCTCTTGTGTTTCTGTCTTAGTTTCCAGGCGGAGCGCCCTGCGCTGAACGTGGTTGTGTTCCCTCTCCTGCACGAAGACCTAACCGAGGTTATCCGGGACGTCCCCATGATGCACCTGGACGAGATCACCTTGTTCAAAAGCCGAGTGGCCGAGGAGCCGCCGAATTTGTGGTGGTGACGGGGGAAGCCCCGCCAGATTAGGTCCCAGAAGCCGGCCACTTTTCTTCTCCTCCTTGGTCGAGAGTTCGCTGCTTTTGGAGTCTCGTGTCCGTTGTTGGAACGCTGTTTCGCTTCTCGATGCCGCTCCGAGGATCCCACTTAGGCAAAATTTGCCCTTGGGGAAAGAAATTGTAACCAGTATCACCATTAATATTATTATTATTATTTTTTTAAAAATGCTAACCCTTCCTCGTTCCTGCAAAACGTGGGAACGGGCGGCGGCTAGAAATGGGACCTTCCCCGTTCAGTGTTCCTTCCTTGCTATTTAATGTCTGAATTCTTGTTTTAACTTGAGGTGGGATTCAAGGTAAGAAGAATGTCAGTTTGAAAGAATGTACTTTTTCCCCCCTCCTCCTCCTCTTCCGAGTCGCATCGTTTGGGGAAGCAACCTGATTTTCCTGTCTTCGTCCCTTGTGTGGGTTTTTCCTCGCAACCTGGGTCCCTTGAAGCTGTTGTGGACTTCAGCTCTCAGAATTCCCCCCACAGCCAGCGTGGAGACGAAGTCCAAGCATCTCACGCTTGCCCAGAGTTGAGAAACATCGTTCTTCTGCTCCAGGATTATGCTCTCCTTCGCTCTTGAAGGCACTCCAAAAAAATGATTGCAAAAGACCAACTGTCTTGAACTCGTGGGAATCCAGATGAATTTGGGATTTTTAGCAATTGCTTTAACTCCGGTTGCACCGCTGCTTTTTTTTTTTTTGCTAATCTGACAAGTGTGCCCTTCCTTCAGCTTTCTTGGAGCCCCTTCCTCTTCCCTGGAAAACCCCCCTGAAAGTCAGAAAGCGATTTAAAAGCGGTGTTAAATGGCGAGAGGCCAGAAGCCTTCCCATCCGCATTAAATGCACAGAAGGGACGGCTTAGAATTGCTCTTAAATCGCTCCGAATATTCCGCCTGTTTCTTCACCGCTATTTTTATTTTAGCAGGAGCAACCACACTTCTCTTGACTAAATCCCCATCCGGCAGGAGCAGTTGCGGTTCTAAAAATCGAGAATGTAATCGTGGAGAGCGGACGCCCTCTGTCTCGTGAGGGGTCCGCCTAGAGAGTTAGGTTGCAGGAGAAAATGGTGGAACCTAGCCAGCATATCTTCTTCAGGCCTCCTCTAGGTGATGGCATTCGGGTGGCTTCGTAGACAAGTAAAAGACACCCTTGTGAAGAGGGAGTCCATCCATCCATCTCTGCTTTTCTCCTGAAATCCGACATCCTTTTGAAGAGAGAAGCAAGCTGTGGCGCTAAAGATACCATCTTGGATCGAGCCTGCCATTTCTAGTCCTTGACAAAACGCCACTGGTAGTCCAGCGTACCTCTGAGGGGCAGGTTAAGGGTCCGTGGAGACCGCAGGGGTACCTTCGAGCCAGCTGCTTCCCTTCAAGGAAACCCTTCTGGTCTTGGTTTTCTAGGTTTTAAAGTAAGGGTGTCCAACCTTGTGCCCCTTTAAGACTTCAACTCCCAGAATTCCCCAGCCAGATGGAATTCTGGGAGTTGAAGTCCACAAGCCTTAAAGGGGCGTCCCAGTTTTAGAGGATCTTTCCTTAGGGCCGTGATGGCGAACCGATGGCACGCGTGCCACAGGTGGCACACAGTGCCGTATCGGTAGGCACAGGAACTCAGCTCCAGCTGTTTCCTGCCTCCGGAGGGCCTGGGGTGGGTGGGGAAGGCCCATTTTTCGCTCTCCCCAGGCTCCAGAGCCTTTTCTAGGAGCCTGGGGAGGGTGAAAATGGTGGGACCGGAAGTCAGCAAATGGGCCGTTTCCGGCCTCCGGTGGAGCGGGGAAGGCCGTTTTCCCCCTCCCCATGCTCCCAGACTGGCTCTGGAGCCTGGGGAGAGCAAAAAACAGGCCCACTGGGCCATCACATGCCAAAATAAGGGGGAGCACAGGACGGGGTCATAGAATTATGGTTGCTTTTGGCATGCGATGGCAAAAAGGTTAGCCATCACTGCCTTAGGGGGTCTGTGCTCCACCTGTGTTCCACCTGTAGCTGCTCCACCAGTAACTTTGTCCTGGGGGGAGGGTGTGTCAGGCAGGCTGGAGAAGACATTTTGGGAAGGCGCTTACTTTTCCAAAGAACGGTACGATGTGGAGGCCGGGAATGTTACGGCACCCCTTCCCTTTCTAGATTTTTGCTTTTTTTTTTCTTCTTTTTTCTTTTCTTCCAGTCCTTCACGAACTCGCTCGGGCTGCTCCGTGCCCAAAATCACCAGCCAGCTTGAGTATCCGTAATCGTGTGTATGTGTGTGTGTATATATATATATGCGCGTGCACATTCAGATGTGATGCTCATCTCGGTGTTAAGTGGTTTAACCGTGGATTTACCTATCCAGATGGCATATAAAAATTTCTTTACACATTTTTTGGCGATCCTATTCTTTCTTTAAAAAAGAAAAAAAAAGAAAACACCGGGAGCCACAAAACCTGGGTGGGGGTGGCCAACTCGATGTCACTCACTTCCACTAGTCACATGACCCCCCCCTAGCCATGCCTACCCAGCCGGTCATTAGGGCAAAGAACCAGTTGTTAAAAACACCAGGAACCACAAAATCCTTTTGACATATCTCTCTCTCCCCTCCCTCCCTCCCTATCTCCCTCTTATCTCTCTATGTCTCTCTCTCTCCCCCTCTCTCTGCATCTCTCTATGTCTCTCTCTCTCCCCCTCTCTCTGCATCTCTCTATGTCTCTCTTCCCCTCTTCTGTATCTCTCTATGTCTCTCTCTCTCCCCCTCTCTCTGCATCTCTCTATGTCACTCTCTCTTCCCCTCTCTCTGCATCTCTCTATGTCTCTCTCTCCCCCTTTCTCTGTATCTATGTCTCTCTCTCCCCCTCTCTGTACCTCTCTATGTCTCTCTCTTCCCCTCTCTCTGCATCTCTCTATGTCTCTCTCTCCCCCTCTCTCTGCATCTCTCTATGTCTCTCTCTCTCCCCCTCTCTCTGCATCTCTCTATGTCTCTCTCTCTCCCCTCTCTCTGCATCTCTCTATGTCTCTCTTCCCCTCTCTCTGTATCTCTCTATGTCTCTCTCTCTCCCCCCTCTCTCTGCATCTCTCTGTGTCTCTCTCCCCCCCTCTCTGTATCTATGTCTCTCTCTCCCCCTCTCTGTACCTCTATGTCTCTCTCTTCCCCCTCTCTCTGCATCTCTCTATGTCTCTCTCTCCCCTCTCTCTGCATCTCTCTATGTCTCTCTCTCTCCCCCTCTCTCTGCATCTCTCTATGTCTCTCTCTCTTCCCCTCTCTCTGCATCTCTCTATGTCTCTCTTCCCCTCTCTCTGTATCTCTCTATGTCTCTCTCTCTCCCCCCTCTCTCTGCATCTCTCTGTGTCTCTCTCCCCCCCTCTCTGTATCTCTCTATGTCTCTCTCTCTTCCCCTCTCTCTGTATCTCTCTATGTCTCTCTCCCCCTCTCTCTGTATCTATGTCTCTCTCTCTTCCCCTCTCTCTGCATTCTCTCTATGTCTCTCTCTTTTCCCCTCTCTCTGTATCTCTCTATCTCTCTCTCTCTCCCCCTCTCTCTGTATCTATGTCTCTCTCTCCCTCTCTCTCTGCATCTCTCTATGTCTCTCTCTCTTCCCCTCTCTCTGTATCTCTCTATGTCTCTCTCTCTTCCCCTCTCTCTGTATCTCTCTATGTCTCTCTCTCCCCATCTCTCTGTATCTCTCTGTCTCTGCCCTGGCCGCTTCTCCATCCCCCGCCATTGCCCTTACCTTCTCAGGCTTCTCAGGCCAGGTGAGGAGTGACTGAGAGGGGAGGGCGAGCGGCGGGGCCAGCCAATGGTGGGATCACCTGACGGAGCCACAGCAGTGGGCCAAAGAGCTGCATGCGGCTCGGAAGCTGCAGGTTGCCGACCCCTGTCCTAGGGGACGTAAGTTGTGAAAAATGGCCATCAGTCGCTTTCTTTCAACGCCATTGTGACACCGAACGGTCACTAAATGAACCATCGTAAGTCGAGGACTATACCTGTGTATATACAATGCCAGTGGGGCAGGCACAATCTTAACAAAGGGGCAAAGAGACATCCTTCCCCCTGCTCTACCCTACCCCACCGCCGCCCCAGCCTTTTGCTACCTTCAAGCCCTTCCTCCGTCACAAGCCATCGTCACGCAAGAGAGCGTTTGGGAGATGGCGGGCGGGGGGGGGGCTCTCCAAGGCAAGCTTCAGCAGATGTTAATAACCCGCTTATTTTCTCTAAGTGCCGTTTTGGCATCGGTGTTAATTACAATTTATATTCGGCAACATTGGCTCTGGGAAAAGGAAACACACACACACACAGCCCTGCCCCAAATGGTCTCCGATCGATGGGGTGAGAATTGTAAAGCACGGTGCCATATGCTCCGTGTGCTGAGAAGGGAGCAGGATGCCAGGCAGAGCCAGAGACAAGATGCCAGCCTTTCCTTGCTCTTTTTGGGGGGGATGAGGGGGGGGGGCGAGAGGCATTCGAAAGAGGCGAGCCTTCCTTCCTTTGCTCGCTCTTCCTGGCTTAATTTGGCTCTGAAGCTACCGGGACCTCATTATCTTCATGGCCTTGGGTCGCTAACTAGGTCACTTTTCGGGGTGGGTGAGAGGTGGAATGGCTTTCTTTTTGCCCCCTCCCCTAAACCTGCCCCAAAGGATTGGAAGACCCTCAAATCTTGCTCTTCGGTCTTGTCTGAGCCTGTAGACTTCCCTCCACCCCCCACCCCCAGAACACTGAGAGAAATGGTGGAATTTGCAACCCGGAGTTGTCAGCAAGTTGGATGGCTGCAAAAAGTTGAGTTCTCTTGTTCACAGAGGAAGAAATCACTAATAGAGATGGCTGTTTATGACCCCCCCCCCGAACGATGGTGGGCTTTCCACGGTGGAGGATGGGAGGAGATCGATAAGAACAGTTGCTGGACCTGGCTATGATTAGTTTAATGAAAAGAAGGACTAGGGGAGACATGATAGCAGTCTTCCAATCTCTCAGGGGCTGCCCCAAAGAAGAGGGAGTCAAGCTATTCTTCAAAGCACCTGAGGGCAGGACAAGAAGCAACGGATGGAAACCAATCAAGGAGAGAAGCAATCTAGAACTAAGAAGAAATTTCCTGACAATTAACCAGTGGAACGACTTGCCTCCAGAAGTTGTGAATGCTCCAACTCTGGAAGTTTTTAAGAAGATGTTGGATAACCATTGGTCTGGAATGATATATAGGGCTGTGATGGTGAACCTATGGCACACAGCGCCCTCTCTGATGGCACACGAGCCGTCGTCCCAGTTCAACTTATGCACGTGTGCCTCCCACCAGCCAGCTGGTTTTCGGGTCTCTGCCGCGCATGCTGGGGGGGTGGATCGTGTCCGAGGGGCACGCACACATGCACAGGGGGACATGGTGCGTGCACGAGGGCTGTGCGTGCATTGCGTTTTGGGGGTTTGGGCGCATGCATGCGCATTTGCTCGTGCTTTGGGCACTTGGTCCAGAAAAGATGAGCTGATCACTGATATAAGGTCTCCTGCTTGAACAGGGTGTTGGACTAAAAAATCTCCAAAGTCTCTTCCAGTTCTGTTATTCTGTCATTCTTATGACTGTCAGTCTCAATTCCTCAACTAGGTTAGACTCCTGAATTCCAGTAATCATGATGGCCAGGTCTTGAGTCAAGATCTGGAACAGTTGAGCATTCAAGATCCAAGATCCCTGCAAGCATCTCCGGTGGAACAAGGAAGCATCTGGATGGCAAGTGGCAGATGCCACTCTGCTGTAGCCTGTAGGCTGTGACAGTGATATACCAGCAGTCAAGGCTTCAAGGGGTCCCCAAGACCACCGGTCAACCAGAAGACGAACAAACTCAGCCCTCCATCACGTTCTCCAAGCTCCAGAAACCAAGACCCTCAGGAGCCAAGACAGAATTCCTGTTCTGATCTAGGCTCCCTTAAAAAGCAGGAAGCAGAGTCTCGGTCCCGGCAAAACCTCTTTTATTTACATGACTGTGAATTCCTTTCATTCACAGTCAGCACAAGGCCTATCCAAACAGTCTTGTCAAAGGAATATTTATCAACACAGACCTTATCTTGCTTGGAAGACTGCCAGGTAACTAATTTCCAACTGCAGTACAAGGCAAAATTTGGCACAGAGACTCTCAGAGTCACGGAACGAACATATTGTTTCCTGCAAAAGCCCACTCCCCGTTTGCTCCTCTTTTTTTTTTTTTTTAATTTGATTTATATGCCGCCCTTCTCCGAAGACTCAGGGCGGCTTACAATGTGCTCAGCAATAGTTTCCTGTGGGAGGGGCCAATCATCTCCAAGGTGTAGCTTTACTCCCAAGTCAACCCTGCTTTCTGAGTTGTTCTTGTCTTCTGGCAGCTCTGCGCATGTGTGCATGTGGGAACAGGCTCCAGCTGTTCCTCTGTTCCTCACTGCTGTTTAACTCCCTCTCTGCCCTCATCAGAGGTTTCCCCAGCCCCCAGGACTGGCCCCTATTCCTCCCCAACCTCCTCACTGTCGAACTCTGCTGCCAGCTTTGCCGGCTGCCGGCAGGCCACAACAATTCCCATTTTTGCAACAATTGAGAATATTTGCAGGGCAAAAAAAAAAAAAAAAAAAAAAGAGCCCACAACAGACATCATTTCCCTCCCCCCAAAGTCAGCTGAAGCTCAGTGGAAATAACTTGAGAATTAGATTAAATGTACGATATATTTTTTTTAACAAACAAAAACAATCTTTTTATCTTTGAAAAATTCAAGCGTGGCTTTTCTGTGTTAATATGGAGGCAAGAAAGACGCTCAGGCTCCCCCTTTTAAGTTATTTATTTGAAGCTTGGTCTCCTTTGCCTTAAAATAGTTCCCTTCCATAAGGAGAGTTTCTTCCCGAACATACAGAGAATGTTAAATTAAGCCTTGCTAATTAGCTGTTTGATAATTAAATAATACGGCACGAAGCGACTGGGGCCTCGGATTTAAGCTTTCTGTATGTATTTGTGAATTCTCCTCCTCCCCGTAATGCTTTGAAGTCAACTCTTCCCTCCGAAGATGCAAGATAAAGATTTTTCTTCTCTCTTGCGAAAACTTTGAAAAAACGGCTGTCTGAAAACATTAAAGGAAACACACACACACAAAAAAGAGGAACGCTTCTCTATTCGGAGCGCCGAGCGTTCAAAAAAATGTGATATTTGATGGAGGGAGAATTCTTATTAAAAAAAGCATAAAAGAGCTAGACTGGGTGTGCTTTATCTCCCTCTGTTTTTACTTCTTCTAAGGTTTAAAGGAGAGCATGGGGTCCGTTTGTAAAATATGTGGAATGCAGCGGCAGGATTTTCCCCCTCAGTTGTACCATTTTATGTGGGGTTGGAAATGATGGGCAGGACCATCAACCAAGCAAGATGAAACCATTCACCGGTGGAACGGAT